GTCCATTTGAGGGAGATTTTTGGGGCCCTGCAGGTGGGGGAGGGGAAATTTGAGGGGATTTGGGGGGAATTTGGGGCAAATTTGGGGGCTCCCACAGGTGGGGGAGGGGAATTGGAGGGTGAAGAAAGGGAAATTTGTGGAATTTTGGGGACCTTAGGGCAAATTTGGGGGGGTTGGGAGATTTTGAGGGATCCTGGAGGTGGGGGAGGGAAATTTGGGGGTGTTTGGAGGAAATTTTGAGGATATTTTGGGAACATTTTGGGGACACTTCAAGAAGATTTGGGGAGCTATTTTGGGGATATTTTGGGAAGATTCTTGGAGACATTTTGGGAATGTTTTGGGAACGTTTTGAGAAGATACTGGGGGACATTTTAGGGACATTTCGAGAAGATTCTGGGAATATTTTGGGGACATTTCGAGAAGATTCTGGGAATATTTGGGGGATATTTTGAGGACATTTTGAGAAGATTCTGGGGGACATTTTGGGAACATTTTGGGGACGTTTTGAGAAGATTCTGGGGATATTTTCAGAACATTTTTTGGACATTTTGAGAAGATTCATGGGGACATTTTGAGAAGATTCTGGGACTATTTTTGAAACTTGTTGGGGACACTTTGAGAAGATTGTGGGAATATTTCAGGAATGTTTTGGGGACATTTTGAGAAGATTCTGGGGGATACTTTGAGAAGATTCTAGGAATATTTCAGGAACATTTTGAGGATGTTTCTGAACCACCCCATGACCGTTTTTGTGGATGTCTTGGGGGAATGTTTCAGGGGTTTTCTCTCACCTGTCTCCACCGTGGCTCCACACTGGGGTGTCCCAGGTTAGGGGTGGGGGCGGGAGCAGGAGAGGGGCAGAGGAGTCTCTGGCACTCCACGATCTTCACAACCCCCCCACTGTTCACCAGCAGCGCCGGCTCTGGGGACAGGAGAGAAACGGAGTGAGGATCCCTCCCCATATTACCCCCAGGGATTGGGGCAGAAATGAGGGGGGTGGTCCCAAGGGGGTCCTGGGGCATCCTTAAATGGGTCTAGGGTCGTCCTAGAGGATTTTGGGGAGTTCCAGTGTGAGTCCCAGGTGTCCTCAAATTACCCTGAGGGGCCTGGGGTGGGGGGGGGGAAGGAGAGGGGAAGGGGCAGAAATGTTCCAGGTGTGTCCCAGGTTTTCCAAAATGGGTCTGGGGGCGTCCCAGGTGTGTCCCAGGTGTCCCAAAATGGGTCTGGGGTCTCTCAGAGGGATTTTGGGGGGTTCCAGGTGTGTCCCAGATGTGTCCCAGATGTCTCCAAACAGGTCTGGGGTCTCCGGAGGAGTCTCCAGAAGGGTCTGGGATGTCTGGGAGGGTCCCCAGAGGGGTCTGGGGTCTTCCAAAGGGATTTTTGGGGGGTCCCAGATGTCCCCAAATGGGTCTGGGATCTCCGGGCGGTGATTCCCAAAAGGGTCCGGGGTGTCCCAAATGGCTGGGGGGTCCCGGGGGTTCCCACGTGGGCCAGCAGTGTCACCTGGGCCCAGGGGCCCTGCAGGTGCTGCGCTGCCCCCACCGCCAGCAGAGGAATCACGGTCCTGGGGGGCAAAAGGGGAGGGGTCAGCACCGGTTTGGGGCTTATCCCAATTTTTTCCCAATTTTTCCCCATTATTTCTTGATTTTATTTCCTGATTTTTCCTTCTTTTTTTTTTTTTTTTTTTTTTTTTTTTTTTTTTTTTTTTTTTTTTTTTTTTTTTGGTTTTTTTGGGGGGATTTTTTTGGGGGTTTTTTTTGTGTTTTTTTGGGTTTTTTTTTGTATTTTTGGGGTTTTTTCTCATTGCTGGGGTCTCCACTCCCAGTTTTGGGGTTTTTCCCAAATGTATCCCATTTTTTTCCCCAAATTTTTCCTTCCCCCCCAGTTTTTTTCTGATTTTCTACCGATTTTTTTTGCATTTCCCTCATATTTTTAGAAAGATTTTTGGATATTTTTGGGGTTTTTTCTCATTGCTGGGGTCTCCACTCCCAGTTTTGGGGTTTTTCCCAAATGTATCCCATTTTTTTCCCCAAATTTTTCCTTCCCCCCCAGTTTTTTTCTGATTTTCTACCGATTTTTTTTGCATTTCCCTCATATTTTTAGAAAGATTTTTGGATATTTTTGGGGGGTTTTGTCATTTTTGGTGTCTCCACTCCCAATTTGGTGTTTCTTCCAGATTTTGAGGGTTTTTCCCTTTTTTTTCCTATTTTCTCCCAATTTTCCCCCAATTTTTCTTATTTTTCCCCTTTCAAATTTTTTATTTTTTTCTGACTTTTACCATATT